AGTGTCCCGGCTTGGAGTTTACAATTCAAAAAGGATGTATATAGCTCAGTAAGGAAATTTATAACTCAGGATTTGTAGATGAGAATTGTGGAGCTCAAGAGAGCGGACATTTCTAAAAGAACAAGGAGGTTGCCTTAAAGCATTCATCACGGCCGGACAAGAAGTGAATCCAACATAGCGGCGACAGCAACGATCATATCGGTGGAGCATCCGCCATCGTGGATCTGTTTTGTAATATTTTGTGGATAGTTAGCAGCTGCAGCCAATTCCAGATAATATATTTCCAGTGAAAAGGAAAACCATTTGGGGCTGTTCCGACGGATGAGAACTATAGTTTCAACACGGTGGCACATAACGAAAGCACCGACGAATTATAATATTCGGCGTGATTCCTCGTTGCCTCTGAGATCAGTGGTTCTTGAAGTTACTACTTAATAAATGGTATGCATTACATCAATTGTTTATTATAAGTTTTATTTATGTGGTTTAGTGACTACACAACTCAGTTTTATATTTTTTTGGCCGGAAACTTGAGTGTTATTATTTGCATAAATTAACAGTTAAACCAGTGGATGTGCTATTCAAAACATTTTTTTTTCTGTAAGTTGCTTACATGTAAGCTGTTAAAAGTGAAATATTTTCAAATTATCGATGATAGAGAAACAGTGTAGTGGTAAGTGCTACAAATAGCATTATTTACCTTCCAGAAAGTGGGCATTGAAAATTACGGAAAAATTAACATTTTGTCGCGGGTATGAATTGTAAATTGTTTGTTCTGCAAAAAATAATTGAGTGCCCGCGGACTTTTCAGTACCAAAAGATTCACAAAGGACGAAATATTCATTTGCAACTTCAAATTTGATCAAAATATGAATACCAGTTTGATTTTATTTTAGCCAAAGATGTCTCATTTTCAGTTTTTTAAAAAGGCGGTCCCCCCCTTACAAAGGACAGGGGGCCAGGGGGCCCCCAGGAGGCAAACTGAAAATCCGGTGCCAGTTTTGTGGAGCGGAAGGATGATATTTTACCAGGATGTCAGCAGAATTTTAACCAGTCTTTTGCATTTTGAGATAATTAGTTAACAAAATCTCAGTTTTCAGGGTTAAAAATACCTCAAAAAATACATTTTTGGGCATGAACTTCCCCCCTGATCCCAAGTCTAGGTTAGTGCAGGAAGTGAAACAAATATCATCATGAATGTTTCCACCCAAAGACTAAACTACACACAAAGTATGAAGTAAACTTTATTTTTACCATTTCCAATTTGGCTCCATCCTTAGCGACATTCGTTTCTTAAACTCTATAAATCTTAAAAGATTTTATAGAGGCTATAAATCTTAAACTAGTTGCTGCCGTATTGCAGGTGTTGGTGTTAACATAACACAACTATATCAAACAAATTGTGGTCGGTACATCACTTTTTTTAAATTTAGAAGTTAATGTTTCAAAAAAGCAAGTCGATGATGCGCACTCCATCTGAAACCAATCAGGATGCTCATTTTTATTGCCCCAGAACCTTCAGACCTTCCTTATTGTTAACATATTTAATTATGTTGCAGGTTCGTAAGTTGGAGTTTGTTTTGGCAGATGCTTTAGATAAGAGATGCGACACAGTGTTTAACAGGCGGTTACCTTCATTCCAACCATTGTAGAACTACTGCAATTGCAGCAAGACAACTTGGCTTGAAATGTTACTTGTTCCTAAGAAGTTCTGAAGAGGCAAGACAACTTGTTTAACCCTACACCCTGTGCCAAAATGTCCCTAGGTTTAAGCTATAGCCCCTCTCAGTAATGAGAAACACAACCCCAACCTCCATAACCCTAAGCCCTCGCCCTAGCCCAAATAAAAATGATTCCAATCCGGAATTTTTTAGATCCCTTAGGAACAGTTGTTCCTGCAGAGAAGGTACATTCCCTCTCGATTGAATTCCCATGACCTAACCCATGGGATAGTCGTTGCCACAACAAAGTTTTCGTACATCCCTTCTCGGTAACATGAAATGCTCCCCAACCCAACCCTATTTTTGATCCCTTAAATTAGGAACAGTTGTTCCTGCAGAGAAGTTATGTACATTCCCTCTCAGTAACGAGAAATGCAACCCCAACCTCCATAACCCAAACCCTCAGCCCTCACCCTAGCCCCAAAGAAAAATGATTCCAATCCAAAACTTTTTTCATATTCCCAAGACATGACCCATGGGATAGTTATTCCCATAGCAATTTTTTCACATGCTCTTTCTCGGCAAAAAGAAATATGCTACTCTAAACCTAACCCTACTCCTAGCCCGAAAGAAAAACAATTCCAATTTGCTGTAACTGAGATCTTAACAGCTGTTGTTCTTTTATTTTCATGCAGACTACAGATATCGGGTGTAAAGGGAATCTTCTTTTAAGCAGAATGGTTGGAAGTCGTGTTATCCTTGTTCCTCACCTTAAATATAAAACTGAACTTGAACCAATGATGAAGAAAATGGCTGAAAACATGTAAGTGGCACTTTATTTATACAGTCGAACCTCTCCTTATGGACACCCCTCCATTACGGACACCCCTTCTATTACGGACACCCCTCTATTACGGACACCCCTCTACTACGGACAATGAAGTAGATCCTGTATTGGATTGGCTAGCTGATTGCCAGCAATTTTTCGGCAATAATTCATGACTTTATTGTGTTTATGGACTTTGAAAAAAATGACGAGACTGCGATATCCTGCCATTAATATTGGTCAATAGCCCTGCATATTTCGTTTATAACTTTTCAGACTAAGCAGCCCTCGGAATTTTTATCATCCAATTATTTCCCAAATTGGACAGTACGTAGTCCTATTACATACAAACCGCCCTTTTTCCACCAGGCCATTCAATTAACTTCAGTCTATATTTAAATCGTTTCAGACGACAGCAGGGTTCATCTCCATATCTGATAGAGGTTGGAGGATCTTCATACACAGGCGTGTTTGGTTACCTGACGGCATTTCAAGAAATGATGAATCAGGTGATTAGCTTCTGTCATAACAACCCTTTCATTCTCAAGATCAAAATGTTAGTTTCCATACGCTAAAAAATGTTTATTTTAGTGCTGAGAATTTGGCACTATGTACGACAAATTATTTGATTTTGATTACTCGTGGTGAACTAATGAATGAGGGCCCAAAATACCCAATCATGTGATGAAACTTGTTTCCAGGGTAACCTGGAGCTCATAAATCTTGTGCGCAGAGCCCACTTTGCTTCTCGTCTGGCTGTGGGGGATCTGGGTACAAGATTAGGGGTTCATAGCCAGGATTGACAGTCTTATTAAGTTTTCTTCTCTTATAGCACACCCTAGTTGTATTTCAATTCAGTAAATTGAAAGGATATTGCTTGCATGTTTCAGAATCTGTTGGAGGATTTTGATGACATTGTAATGACGTGCGGCACTGGAGGAAGTGCAGCAGGAATTGCCATCGCTAATTACTTGGCAGGATCAAAACTCAAGTGAGCTGTGTTTTAATAATATTAATAAAATTAATTATCATACTTGGTTACTAATAATATTTATTAGTAATTAATTAATAACTAATTATTATTATTATTATTATTATTAATTAATAACCAATATTATGATAATTAATTTATTAATATAAAGTAACCAATAATTATTATGGACAATTCTTGCATCACTCGTCTGTCTGATCGCCAGGCTTCACTACCTTTGTCGTTAGCAGTCCTGCACGTGCTCCATTTCCTCCTCTCTACCAACACTACGCAATGGCGCCTGGGGATGTAGGCAGATCACTCTTAATCCTCTTATTAGCGACCTTTAGGTCGGAGTATGAGTACGAGATTGAAAAACAAGTACAACTTTTCAAACCTAGTGCCCCGGGGGGGGGGGGGGGGGTACTCCCAAAAAATGTGGGTTGGGGTGTGCCGCTGGGCTATAAAACCCTTACCCTGTACCAGAGCACAAAACGCTAATTTTGCGACCCTGTTCCAGACTAAATGTTGAAAAAAGATACCCTGTTCCAGAGGATTTTTAACATTTTTTTTTCTAACCCAAAAGCTTAACTACTAAGCAGCACTGCGAACGTGTAGCTGTAAAGCTTCCTTAATACTCCTACGCGTTTCGTTTCGTCTGACTAACGTAGACTTCGTCTACCCTATTCCAGAGTATAAATTACCGATCTTTGTGCCAACTTCTGGGAAACTGATACCCTGTTCCAGACCAAAAAATGCCTTTTGGTATACCCTGTTCCAGAGCAAAATGCTCAAAAACCATACCCTGTCCAGCGGCACGTACCTATATAGCGTATATAAGGGAGTCCCCCCCCCCCCCCCCCCCCGGGCCTAGTGCACAGACTTAAACATGTCTAACACCAATCTTGTTCCTAGAGCCTCCTTCTCTACTGGTCAGCAAGAGGGAGGCGCAAGGGCTCTGGGAACTTGCCTGATTTGAAATTTGAAAGTCATACTCATAGTCAATCTTGTACTCGTACTCTGATCTAAAAGTCGCTATTATCTTGATTTTAGTGAGTCATCAAGAATTATGTGATTTTATTGTCTTGTGTATATAGGTGCCATGCTGTGAATGTAGATGATGACGATGCCTATGTTTACAACAAAATAAACGAAGACCTTAGGCAAGGAGGACTTGATATTCAAGCAGAAGATATCATTGATATTATTGGAGGATACGATGAGCCAGGATATGGTATTTCCTCTCAGGCAGACCTTGGTGGGTATCAACTTTGCTGAAAGTATTTAGCCTATGACTAGGCTCCGCGGTGGGGATGGGGTAAAAAGAAAATGGCGTGCGAGCCGGGCCTATTCATAGGCTAGAAAGTATTAGACAAAACCCTCAATAAATCAGTTTTCAATGGCCCCTGGGTTATGCTAAACCAATAAATACTGCTCGGTGCTCACTCTCGGTTTCTACTGACTGTGATAGTTGGCCCGGGGCTTCATCTCTCACCAACTATCAGCCAATAGAAACTAGTTATATGGGCAAAGCTCCCACGAGTCTCCTGTAGCTCAGTGGTAGAGCATTTGACCAGTGTGTGGAAGGTCACAGCTTCAACTGCACTGTTGGAAGAACTCGGAAATGTTTCTTTCTCATCACTTTTTTCTTTTGTTGTAGAAAACATTTTAGAGATCACCAGTACTACAGGAGTATTAGTGGACCCAGTGTACAACATTAAGGCTATCAGAGGAATGCTCGCTGAGATGAACCACAATCCTGGGAGATTCCAAGGACGTAGGATACTCTATATTCATACTGGTATGTGAAATTGTCTCCATACTGTATATACCAGGGGACAGACGTTGTCAATTACTGTGAAAACATGGAATTTATTTGACTCTTTCTACACTGTTGATCATAATTCAAGTGAACACTGAACTAAATAATATACTAAATTGAGTTTCGAACTCGGATTAGGTGCTGTGAATTCCTGAGAAATTCTCGGGAATTCCTTTTTTTTTTTTTTTTTATTCTTTTTTTAATTCCTGTTTTTCTGTTGAATCAGAGCCATGAATTTTGGAAAATTTCGGTAAGGCATGGAAGGTCTCAAAAATTACCGAGAATTCTAGAGAAATCTTGAGAATGTTTTTCCGTTCCCAAAATTTCCCAGGAATAAGTTTGTAATCACATATGGAAAATGAACTGAAAAATGCATATCAGTTTACCGTTTTATTTTTATGTTCAGAAATTTGCCTTGGTTTTGGGCTATTACTGAATTGAAGTTCCAAACAATGTCTCGATGGGATAAACTACAACCTCTCTCTCTTTTTACTAACTGCACTAATCAGGCAGTAGCCATCTCTCACGTTATCATTTTATTAATCACTATATTTTTTCTTTGCAGGAGGGCTGTTTGGTTTGTTTGATGGGAGAATCGATTCTTTAATCACAAGCTCGCAATCTGCAAAGTGTGAAAATGAAGTTTTCTGCTGGAGAGACATCAATGAACCTCCTCCATGCTGAATAGAAACTTTTTTTAAAACATACAAATAAAAATGGGGGCGGGGGGCTTAATAGAGCTTTTATGGTACTGAAAAACAAACTGTACCATAGGAAAACTGATGCCAATTCGCTTTCATTTGATTGGTCACACTTAAGGACTATGTTACGCTCAACCTCGTTCCCAGCGTCTCTCTTCTTCCGATCCCGCCAAATCAATCGCTTTTGGCGGGAAGAAGAGAGACCCTGGGAACGAGGTTGTGTTACGCTATTTTCGGCAATTTTGTTAAACTAGTCTAAAATCGATTGAAACCACTAAATGATGGTTTCAAACCATAGAAAAACATAAACAAATACATTGTTATAGCGGACACCCTCGGGACGTAGTTTGGAGTCCGCAATAGCGGGAGTCATTTTCAGTGAAACCTCTATAGCGTTCGCCGGGTGGAGGGCTGGATTTTGTCCGTAATAGCGGGTGTCCGTAATAACGGGGTGTCCGCAAGAGAGGTGACTATACTGGGAAGATGCAATGAAGTACGGATGGTCAAAATTGGACAAGATTGAAACGGATTGCGAAACAGTTAACTTGAGAAACAGAGGGCCAACTCGAAAACTCTGCTACTTTGGCCTCTGCACACTTCTATTCCACGAAATACGCCCTTTATTTATTCCCACTAACAACCGTTTTTAATTCCTTGTGTACATTGTTACTGTAATCTTGAAAAAAGTGTGAATAAAACAAAATTGAAAAAAAAATTGAAATTGACGGCCGACGTTTTTCAATTGTAAGTCCATGTGTATGAAACAAGTGGTAAATAATGCTTAGAAACCATCTGTGTTTGTTATGTAAGTGAGATTCCATCTTTGAATTATATTTCATTCACATGTTTGAGTTCAGCCGGAGCTGAAAAGCAGGGAACTGAAAAGCAAAAAATTGCGTGACATAGCCCCCGGGGGGTGGGGTACTCCCTTATATAAGCTATATAGGTATGTGCTGCCCCAAAGGGTATTGTTTTTGAGCCGTTTTGGTCTGAAATAGGGTATAGATTTTGACCATTTTGGTCTGAAATAGGGTATGTTTTGTGCACTCTGGTCTGGAATTTGGTTTGGCTTTTAGACGAAACTGTTTTTTTCCATTAACATCGGGGAATTTGAAGCCCTTTTCAAATATTTGCGCAAATGGAAGCCATTCCTGCCGGGTAGCTGAAGTCATGTATAAGGGACTGTGCAATAATTACCAGGAGGGGGGGGGGTTGGAAAACCAGAGGGGGGGCATAAAGTAAAATCAAAGCAAGGAGAGGGGGGGGCTGTAGGTAAAATAAGTCATTCAAGAGGGGGGGGGCTTAACATTTTATTTAAAATACATATTACATTGGCGAATCCATACCTATTTATAAGGTGGGGGCCGAAAATTTTTCCGGCCCTTCGGGCCTAGCAAGCCTTCACCGGACCTGAAAATAACACACATGCCCTTTTCCTTCTGCTATGGTTCTGTTGAACATCGCCACGGAGGTGATGTTTGTTCTAGACGCGGATGTCCAACAATTAAACATGCAGTAGGAGCTCTTCTTTCTGTTATAAGATTTTAATCCACACTAGTGCGTGTAGAGAAAATGTAGCAGCTTACTTGTATAAAGGTGTGTGTATACTGTGGGGTGGGGGGGAGGGGGGTCGTACATAATTTCTGACTGATTAGAGGGGGGGCAATAACTAAATTCACTCCTTTAGGAGGGGGGGGGGTATTACCTAATATTTGGCTACATGAAGCCCATTTTCCAACCCCCCCCCCCCCCCCCCCCCTCCTGATAATTATTGCACAGTCCCTAAGACACGTGTACTAAGTTTATGGGTCTGAAATAGGGTATAGATTTTTGGGTCAGGTCTGAAATAGGGTATGGAAAATCACATATTTTGGTCCGAAATAGGGTAAGGGTTTCAAGAAGCGAAACCAAAACTTTGAGGAGGTACCCCAATCAAAGAAAATTTAGTGGTGAACTATAATGGCTAGTAGTATACGAGTAGCTCAGCCAATCAGATTGTCTCATTTGCATTAGTATACTAGCAGATTTTTACTAGTAAAAAATAGAATCGAATCTCTTTACAATGGCCACTCTGGGGCAGCATTAAGTCCATGAACTGTCCGTTTGAGAGGTGACCGTTGTAGGGAGGTTTTAATTAGTTGAGTGGTATATTGACACTGTATATACTATGCAGTATCTGTTCTGGCAAGCAAGTAAAAAAGTGTTAAAACGATGCGGACATCTTATCTGCACACTGCTTGCTTGTTTGTCTTCATGTTTATTATTTTATCTCATCATATTATTCAAAAAAAATATGCTTTGGAGATGAAAGGGCGGGCAAGTTGTACAAGAGATCTAGAAAGTTCGCGGAGTCGACTATTCTTTGTTTTCATCTGACGTCATCAAAATTCTAAAATCTAAACTGTTAATCCTACAAAGCTATTCTTTTTATATCTTCTAGACATGGAAATCATTAATCTATATGCAAAGTGTGGTATCGATCCAGTGATTCCTTTTGGAAATAAAGCTATTTGAAATTTGTGATGTCCCGGATGAACGTGTTAATGAACTGTCACAAAAAACGGATATTTTATATCATTTTTAAATTTTCAGACGTGATAATAATTCAGAAGTGGTGTCTAAACAGATTTGAAGTGAAAGCTAATGATATTGACGGTAGAATATACTCTACTTCTTGTGCAATTTTATGGCGGCCATGTTGGTGCCCCTGAGAAGGGCACCAAGATGGCGGCGGCATACTAAACACTGTAATTTTCTGAAAATTAGTTTGGCAATAACTCGGTTATGAAAAACGCTACAAAGCTATAATTTGAACAAAACGTTTCTTTCTGCCAGTTCTTTTACCTGTTAATTTTCTGATGTTGTTCATGTAAGCAAACAGTTTTTGTAATGTTGATGAAAACCACCAATATGGTAATCCTGTGCAGTGCATTGAAGCTTAACATTCATTCAGATCAATGCATGATCATGCATAGACAGTTCGAAATAAATAAGAAACAATTGGAAATCAATTGTAAGTGTTTCGTCTTCGTCTCTCCGTCATTTAAGCTTGTATCGCTCATGCAAAGAACGACGCTTTTTGACGACTTTTGGGAAAACTAAGGTAAGACTGAAAAAGCCACGTACTGATTGTGACTAGTGTCAAGAGCATTTGGAGCTCAGAAATTAAGATCTTCTACTGATTTTTAATCGATTGATTGATTGTCACGCGAAGTGAATCAACAGCAAATGCAGAAAGTCGTGCAGCATCTAAGGCCCAGTTCAGACGCCGTACTTCACATAAGCCGAATCGAATTCGATGAATTAAGTTCATGTAAAGTACGGCGTCTGAATGAATTCGGAACGGCTGATTGTCGGATCGGCTCAGCCGTTCTTCCCACCTGGCTCAGCCGGGAATAACGGCTGTGGACCGGCTTTGATTCAGTCGCCAAACTTCACATGAGCCGAAACAAATTCATGAATTATTATAATGTATTTTTTAATGTAACAAGAAGTAACATTTCGTTTCAGCTCTTTCACTGTTGAAATGTTACGTTGAAATGTTGCGTCCGTTTGGCCGGGCCTTAAGCCGTTTTTTCTCCACTTGAAAAGGCAACAGCGAAAAGCATAAACCCATTAATCTTGTATCATTTGAAGAACGAAGATCTTTTACTCTATTTTGGATGCCTTTTAGAAAACTGAGCCGAAGAAAAAACCTGCGATTCAAAATTATTCCTGTGGATTGATGGCTGCGCGAAAATCCCTTTCACCTTGTGCTCGTTTAATTATACACTGAATTGGCTCAGCTGATGTAGACGGGATAAGGCGGCAGTTTCTCCGCATCGTGCGACTCTGTTGGCTATGTTCTGTATGGTTAACAAACTGCATTACACCCGTTTTCAGTGTTACGTGCATGACATCTTTCGACATGCTCTGCTATGTTATTAAACTAGGTACCTGCATCGTAAATGAATTAGTAATTTGTACAAAGTGAATATAATTATGATGTTCTACCATTCAGTATATATACACCCCATCGCTTCTTCTTTAGAAATGGACGTAAATAATTCACCGCTCCATCAGTACGAGCCACCCAACTGGGCCTCATCACTAAA